ATTTGCTTCGGGTTGTGACCAATTCGGGCTGCGACCAGAGTCACGGAACGAATTAAGTTCGTAACCCGAGGTACCACTGTACATTGTGTAAACCTGGCAAACTATTCTTATTCAGTAAACCAAAGTTAACCATGTAAATCTAGCTGGGATCCAAACTGGCCCAATACATGGGTTCCAAGTGATTCTGTGAACATATAAATTAGGCAATCTAATACACGTTTCTGGTACTATTTCTATGGATGTAGTATTCTGCTGCCATTGTTGCACTTTTTTTGATCATAATATGGTCTTCCTTACCTCCAAGAGGAATATCTTGATGTTGACTTTTATCTTTTCTCCAATCTGCCACAACATCAAGGATAGAATTGAAATGAAAATCCATACGCTTATCTATGGTAGGATCAGTTATCCTTCCACCTTCTTGGATCAAGTCACACTTCTCTCCAATTTTATGCATTTTAATGCCCAGCTTTCGAAGAAAGAAATTTTAAAGGTGGAAAGATGTGAATAATCCTAATTACTTTTATTGCTAGCAAACTTCATTGCTAACCAAATATTCATTGGTGCCAATTAACAAGAATCGCAACTAATAGCTGTTGCAACAAAACATTTTTCAGTATTATAAAGACAGTTTACCAGATTGGTATAAAAACAAGTAGCAAGCAAAAATTAAAGAAGCTTTTAAAATCTTGAGTTTTCTATTCTCTGAATCAGTTATTTAATTTACCATAAAATATTTGTGAGCTGACTTTCATGAGTTATGAAGAAGAGACATTCTAAACAATAAGGATTATCCACTGAAAATGAATAGTCTGTTGTTTACTGCAAGAGTGACATAATCCATTATAAACTTAATCTATCATTCAGGAAGAAACTTTGAATGCAGAAGATCTGTAGCTTAATAGCACAAGTTAAGATTTTAAAATATAATTTACTTGCTCTTACGGATGGTATTCACCTCTTCATATCCTATTCCTCCATACAAACCTTCAGACAGATCCTTGCTCTTTCACAAATCATAAAACTAAAGAAACATTTCAAAAACTTCCCAATAAATCTACAACTAGAACACCTTGAAACCAAACCCTTCAGGCTCTCAGTGGAACACAAGAGTTCTTGTAAAATGTATCCAAATAAACAGAGATGTACATTTACAGGGATCAATATACATTAAGCTTGGTATCTGCAATATTTCATCTTCAAAAATGCAACCCACTTGCTCGCACATTAGTGCTATAGGATTGTTGATACAGCCATTCACAATCTGAGCCCCTTTTCCTACAACGATCCCCTTGAAAGTCTTATCATCCCATACTCGTCCACCAATTCTATCCTTTGCTTCAAGTACGAGGACCTGTAATATACAAACAGGGTAATGGTGGTGGTAAGAAACACTCTACTCTTGGTAGTTTTTTTCAGCAGTTAACATGATATCCCAGAGACACCAAGAAGATAAAAGAGTATCATCTAATCATGTGAATTGTTTAGCAAGCTTTTGATATAATATATATAGATAAGCTATTGATATAATAATACATATATATTTGATATGATATAAAGAGACGTGAATCTAAGCTCTTGAAGCGTTAAGCGGAGACATACTCATTCTAAGTTCTTGAGAAAGAAGGGAACTGTAAGAAGACAGCTGAATCTGTCATATCCAAACACTGTTTAAACTATACTATGTTACATAATGAAATTGCACCATAATTAACTTCAAGGTCATCTTGATTCTTTAGTCTCTGCAACTAGATACTAACTCTATTCCTCACTGTGCAACTGAGCAATTCACTAGAATGCTTCCTGGATTGTAAAGATTCATGTTCAAGTGATTGGAATACAATAGAATTATGCCAGAACACAACAGTATTACAATATCTTGATTTATATGATCAGGCCTTACTTTAATTCCAAAATTTTGAAGTTGTCTTGCAGCTGCTAATCCTGCTGGGCCAGCCCCAACTACAATTACAGACTTCTGCAACAAAGGAAAAAAGGAACTAGTACAAATACAATTCTTCTAAAGCTAGTGAGATAATTCTTACAAGACTTTGCACAAGTTGCATAAAATATAAAGATAATATTCCCACTGAAAAATCTATTGCCAACTACAGAAAAGGTACTGAGCAAGTCCCAGAAACATATTTTTTACTCAGGCATTACCAATGCTGCAAATATAATAATATCAGATTTCATGCATTGCTACATATACAGTTAACCGTTCAATTTGATAGATTTTGCTACTTAAATCAAGTGATACTTCCAACTAAAGAGTGAAAACAAACAAAATGAACATATACAGGTGAAGTTAATCATCTTGTAGGGAGGAGACAATAAAGCCTGGAGAGAGAGAGATCCCCTAGCTTTATTGTGTGCACATGTGTGCGTGTGTGTGCATAAACTGAAAAGTATCAGATGATGAATTTCCAACCTTCATCCAATTTCATCCCATCATGGATGGACTACTGATTTTTTACATTTAATATTATGGGAACCCCTACCCACTCACCCATTTTTGAAGCTCTGAAGGTGACTCATAAGCAAAGTTGTCAACTGCTTCAACATATAGTCTTTAGAAACAGCAAGCTAGAGGAAGACTTCAGACACTAGGTATGGACAGACTTTCCCAACTTGCCCCTTCCAAATTTTTTCAACTGCAATTCTTTTAATCTCAAACCAGAACATCCACACAGAGAGAGAGATCAGATTGGAGAAGACAATTCAAGAGGCCATCCATCTATTAACAATATAATGTGACCTCCAAATTAATAATCATGATGGAATAAAAATGTAAAAGGGGAAAAAATAGAAAAATGGCCTGTGGCTCTTTATTGAAAAACTTTAAAAAACTAATTCAAATGTTGACAAGACATATTTCTAGTACAATGCATTTCAGCAAATCAGGTGCAGATTTCTTTTTCTAGTGATTTCTTCTTTAAGGTAACCCCCATGCCAGAAAAAAATCTAAATGCTTGATGTCTTCCCAGAACTCAAATACAAGAGATATAGTTAAGAATATATGTATTACATTTATTATCATCCCTCTTTGCCCTTCTTTCATACTTTCAGAATATTCTGTAACTGTGATGGAATGGTTTGAAGAAGGCCGCGTTCGGGGAGATAAGCATTTCCTTAGCCCCCAGCAGGAT